CCTTTTTCCCCTTCCTTTCTTCCCCTCCCTTTCCCCCTTTTTTTTGCTTTCCCTCCCCTTTTTTGCCTTTCCCCCCCTTTTTTTGCCTTTTTCCCCTTTTTTGCTTTCCCCCCCTTTTCTTGCTTTCCCCCACCTTTCTTTTGCTTCCCTCCCTTCTTTTTTTCCCCTTTCTTTTTTTTTTGTCTATGTTTCCCTTTCCCCATCTTTCTTTCCCTTATTTTTTAATATTTTTAAAATTTATTTTTAAAGTTACACCTATCTTTTTTCTGCTTCCCTGCCAAACGCTCGTGCGACCTCCTTTCAGATTTACGAGGCTGATGATGCACATCTCTCGGAAAGAGTTATTTTGGGTGTGCGGGTGGGTTTCTTCTGAATCTGCGGGGGAAAGGAAAAGCTGCTGCAGGAGGCGAAAGGGAAGGGGAAAAAAATAAAAAGAAAAGAAAAGAGAAGAAAGCGATCAGCTGTGCCAAAATGTGCAGCCCTGATCTAGACACATTTTCCCGTAGCGCTCCCGAACTGCCGTAAATGAATATTTATAAAGCTTGTTCAACATGGCGGGTTAAGGTGTCTTCAAAAACTGCAAATAAACATTTTGAGAGGGGGAAAAAGAGGGGAAAGGCGTTTGGTTGAACTCTCTTTTGTTGCTCGGAGAGGTGCGCTGGTGATTTCCTTGCGGAGGGATGAGGATGGGATCCCCAATTCGGGATGCTCCCCCCGCTGGAGCCGGCGCTGGGAAAAGCACCGGGGCATTTCTGTGTGCTGGGAATGGATGTGTGGAGTTGGAACCGCGGCCGATTTGCCTTTGAATGCCAAAATCGCAGGCGTGCCGTGAGAGTGGAACAAAAAAAAAATAATAAAATAATGCGCCGGGAGACGGAGCGCTGATTTATTTTGCATTAGCTGTAGACATGTCGTGGGATGTGATGTCCTGTTGGAGCTGTCAAACCTTCCTGGGCGCAGGCAGCTGGGGATGGCTGGGGTGGTTTTTATTTTTTCGCTTTTTGCATGTTTTTGTTTGGCAAAAAGCCGCTCTGGAATCGCTCCACGCGGAAATTCGGGCGGCAGAGAAGCGAGCTGGGCAGTGCGAGCTGCATCTCTTACAGAGAGACCCTGAAAACCCCCGGGGATGGAATCGCAGCTTCTGCAAAGCCAGAGAAGTAGTTTGCAGAGAGTTCTCCCGGAGTTGTTTGTGCCCTTCCCGGCTGCCTTTTCCAGATGTATTTTCCAGGGGAGTGGGGAGTGAGGTTGTTACAGAGGCAGGGAAAACTTCCTTGATCCTGTGCAGGGAGCATTTGGGTGCTGCTGCTGTTCCCCCGTGGATGTAAGGTGTTAATTTTGGAGCATCTTGTGTTCTGAAGTGTGGGAGGGGATGGGATGGGATGGGATGGGATGGGATGCTCCAGCACCGCGGGCTGTCAGTGCCTGGTGTGGATGGAGGAACCAGGGAGGATCCAGGAGAGGATGGAGGAGCCAGGGATAACCCAGGAGTGGATGGAGGAGCCAGGGATAATCCAGGAGTGGATGGATGGATAATCCAGGAGTGGATGGAGGAGCCAGGGAGAATCCAGGAGTGGATGGATGGATAATCCAGGAGTGGATGGAGGAGCCAGGGAGAATTCAGGAGTGGATGGAGAATCCAGAGATAATCCAGGAGTGGTTGAGGAGCTGCTCTGCTGCTCATTTCCCTGTGCCTCTTGGAGATGCTGCCCACAACCTCGCTGTGGTTTTATTTATTTTTATTTCATTGGTTAGCGGTGCTGTTTGCACACCTTGTCGTGCAGGGTGAGGTTTCCCATTCCAAAAGGGTTCTGATCCATCAGCCCACACATTTCCCCCTCTTTTCTCCAGCCCCTGCCAGGACCAAGCTGGCTCAGGGATCCACAAACTCACATTGCAGGGTTTGGTGGTGGGGAGGGGGGCAGAGGAGAAGATAGGGGTGAAATTGTGATTTCTTATCAAAATAGCAGAAAATAGCATTAATTATTAGCAGAGACGCTTGGAAGGCAGTTATCATGCTGTGGTGGGATTTGGGTGGCAAAATCCAAGAGCTGCAGCAGGGTTTTCTTTGGGATGGGAAGAGATTGGAAGAACTTTAGAAAGGGAAGGTATCTTCCCTCTCTGCCCCCCATGGATCTCCCCATCCCCAGCTTTGCTGTCCCTTGGACAGAACAGCTTTTCTAAAATCAGTTTGTGCCCCGGTGTTCTGGGATAGAAGATGTGGTAGCAGAGTGATGACCTTGTGTCTGAGCAGAGCAGCAGCTTCACCTGGTTGTGTGATGGGGACGTGGAGATGGAGGGGATTTGGAAAGCTCTGTGGAGATCCCTCTGAACCTGGGGCAAACCTTCCCCAAGGAGTTTCTTCTTCTTACACAGAGGAGGGTGCTGGCCAGGAATTAGTGCAATTTGTTTTCCCTCTCTACTAGCTTTTAGGTGAAAACAAATTTGATTTCCTTTGCTGTTGGCAAATTAAGAACCTGCCTCACCTGCTCTTTCTTTGGGCTTGGGACTGTTGCCTGAGTGAGCAGGGATGCAAGAAGTGGCTTTTTTCCTCCTCTTTTTTTCTTATTTTCTTCCCCTCTCTCCAACAGATTATTTATGAAAGGGAAGAAAATATCCTCACAAGTCTAATAACTTCAGTGCTTATAAAGGATTAGGTCCTAATAACTCCTGTGATAAGATGGAGGCTCGGTGTAATCTGTTACTAAGTGAAGATCTAAAAGCCATTTAAATAAACTCAGCAAAGAGATATTGTGAGATTGGTACCTTGTGCACAGCAAGGAAATACCTTTTTAATGATTTTTAAGGGGTGCACAGGGTAGGGGACAGTAAATACATTATAAGCAAGGCAGTATAATTTCAGTTCTGTATTGAGAGAATGTTTGCAAATATTCAACAGATGTTACATGTGGCAGAGGTGGAGAGTGTGTTTTGCACAGATGTAGGAACATCTGCAGAAGACAGTATACAGTTATATAGCTGTGATTATGAGTGATAATTGCCTGGCTGGACAGGCAGTTGATGTTTTAATGAAGCATTTATTAAAACTTTATGCAAGTGTTACTAGGAATAGGGTAAACACCACAACTGCTGACACTTTGGACTGGGGATGCTTTTCCCTCACTCCTGGTTTGTTCTGTGCTGAGCTGGTGTATTTTGGGTCACTGCTTCTGGCCTTTCAGAGCCATGGGATGCTGCTCTGAGATGAGTGAGGGGATGTGATGTTAACTTTAGCGAAGGACAGGACATGGTAGAGAAGGTGCCACCTTGTTTGTCCAGCAGATTTTGGGGAGAAATTCTTTATTGTGAAGGTGGTGAGGCCCTGGCACAGGGTGCCCAGAGAAGCTGTGGCTGCCCCTGTGTCCCTGGAAGTGTCCAAGGCCGGGCTGGACATGGCTTGGAGCAACCTGGGATGGTGGAAGGTGTCCCTATTGGAATGAGATGATCTTTCAAGTCCCTTCCAGCTCAAACCATTCTGTGTTTCTGTGAGTTTTCAGGGGCGTTTCACTGCTTAAATTCATCTTGGTGTGGGGTAAGCAGAGGCTTGGAGAGCATCTGAGGAGGTGTACAAGGATGGTGGTGGATGAAGGAGGTGGCTTGTCCCTGATTGTGTCCAAGTGATCAAATAAAGGAGTTGTGAAAAACCCCAGAACTTGTGACAGCCAAAACTTGAAGCAGAGGAGCCAGAGGTGTGTTCATGAGGGTTCACAAAAACAATAATGTGGTGACCACAGGGTCCATGCTTTAGATGACCTGAAGGTGTCAGAAGTATTTTATTACTATGAATATTGATGCAGATTCTATCAGCTGGTGCAGCAGGGTCCTCAGTGCTGAAAATGAAATTGTTGATAATAGTGACGCCACCTGCAAATAGGAGTTTGTTCTGTCGTTGTAACATCTGGCCCCTAGGAGCAGTTGTTTTGGGATTAGAGTTGCTGATGCTAACTTGTC